GTGGGGGGATTCCTTGGCATTGCGGGCTGCTGCCCGCTGGCGACCAACTGGCTGGTGGGAAGAAATCCCTCCAACTGCAACATGGAGCTATGTGCCTATGTCACCCAGAAGGGATGTAGGCACGTCAGTGATGTGGGGGGGGGGGCTGTTTTGGTTTTTGGGCAAAACTCTATGGTTTGAGGGCTATTTTACCATAGAGTTTTGCCCAAAAACCAGAGTGTCACCCCCAACGTGCCTACGTCACTTCCGGGTGATGTAGGCACGGTGCACGACATAACTTCTGGCAACGGCAGGACATTGGGGGTGATGCTTCCGGCTCCCAGAGTGGCCCTCCCACCCCCCCGCCGGCATCTCAAAGGGACCTGGCAACTCTGCTTTACACAGGAGGATTAAAATGTGGGATTTGCTGCCAGAGGATGTCTTGAGGGCCACAGGAATAAACAGCTTTAAAGGGGGATCAGATAGATTAATGGAGGAGAGGTCTATCAATGGCTACAAGCCATGGTAGCTGAGGGGAAGCTCCACATTCAGAGGCAGTCAGCCTCTGAATCCCAGAGCCAGGAGGCAGTGTCAGGGGAAGGCCTCGGCCTCTATGCCCTGTTGTTGGCTCTCCAGAGGAACTGGTTGGCCACTGTGTGACAGGATGCTGGGCTAGATGGACCACTGGTCTGATCCAGCAGGGCTCTTCTTATGGTCTAAGCTACAAATATGTAGGCATGATGGAATTGAACTATACTTGACACTGAGCTATAACTAGAAGAATGGGCAAACGTTTGTGGTAAGATAACCTTAAACCTCCTTCAAGAGCAACAAACTTATTTTCTGCAGTCACTGATCAATACAGCTGATGGTAAACTTGCAGTAAACGGCAAGACTCGGACAGCTCTGGTGGAATGGCTCCCAGAGGGCTCCATCAGATTTTTTGTTTTGAGCAGGCAGGAGTCATGAAAGAAAACCATTCCCCCCTAAATGTGCTACATGTTTTTAAGTGAGAGAGAGAAGATTTTATTGTATTTAGCCATAGGCCATTACAAGCCACAGACAGTCCAACATTATAAATCCATAAAACCGAGGTTATGAACAGTTAATTCACAACATACCCACTAAAATCAGTATTAGCTAGGAGCAGCGTTGGCCCGTATTTTCCTTGCAGCCAAGGCAAATAAAGCCATTCTATTGGAAACATCGGCATTCGCATCGGCTAGCAAAAATATAATCTTCTCTGGGACTGAATAAAATACATGTTTTCAATGAACTGGCCCACTAGAGCATCCATCTATGGCACGCGTTTACCTACCTTCTGCAGGGTAGTAATGGAGAAAGAGTATGCAGTTTGACTTACCAGGTCATTTCGACAAAGGCTCAGCAGCCCCCCAAAATCCCTGTTCAGGCCTTGCAGTCCTTTTTTTGTTCACTTATTCTTTCTCCCTCATATATACTAAAAGCTCCTTGGACTTATCCTGCAGGTATTCCAGGCTTATAAGGGACATGCCGAAGAGCAACTGGATACCCTTGAGCGGAGATACCGAAAGCTGTTGCAGGCGTCGCTCCAGGATGCCATCGTCCTCTCTGCTCAGAACGCGCAGCTTCAAGCCCAGAGACGACAGGGGCGCACAGACAGAGCAACGCAGACAGATTGCCAGCCCCTTAGGCAGTGCCCTGAGAGCCACGCCGCATCTTAAGGACTTGGGGCCCTCTCTTTTTAAAGGGTATCAGCTTTTGAAATGCTGTCCTCAGTAACCCGGGGCCTGTTTACATCCAGCCAGTGAGCCAAAAATCGTTTGCTCAAGAGCTGTTATCCGGAAGCCATCACTCCCGTCTACCCAAACAAATACTTTTGAGTGATTTTAGCCACACTGCCTTTCCTTGTTCCCACTGTCTTGGGTCATTCACAGGTTGTTGTGGTGGGCTAAAACACAAGGCAAAGGTTAACAGCATGAAGGAACACCAAACTCTCCAAATAAGTTTTGGGAGGGCCGTGTTTCCGTCAGGCACTGTACGTCGTGGCCCCATCGGCTTTCTTGTTTCTATTTGAGTTTAACCTTTCAAGACGCGTGAGCAAAATGTAGTGGTCCAATGCTGGACTAGGATCTGGGAGATCCAGGTTCGAATTCCCCCTCTGCCCTGGAAGCCTGCTGGGTGACCCTGGGCCAGTCACACACCCTGAAGTCTAACCTGTCTCACAGGGTTATTGTGGGATGAAACAGGAGAGAACAATGTAAACTGCTTTGGGTCCCCCATTGGGGGAGAATGAGGTAACGGGGGAAAGGCTGCCTATATCCAGTGGTACACTGTGAAGAAAGTTATGAAACACATTCTATTAGATCTAGCAAATATAGAAGCCGAATGATATTAAGATGTGAACGCTCAGTAGGTGCTCATTTACACACACAATTGCAATGTGCTTCCACATGAGCAAGTGGTACATACATGTGTAATTACAGCCACAGGTAATGGCTGATAAATGTAATAGATGTGTAATTCAATAAAGTTTTCAGAGCTAAACAAGAACTGGTTATTGTGTTTAGCGATACCTGATTCTCGACGATCTTTGCCCGTGCTGCCTTCTAACATCAGAAAGCCGAACTAATTAGAGTTGCCGTGATGTGCCCTGGAATAAAAGGAGTCACAGGGGAAAGGCACCGGTACTCTGCTTGCCGAGGACTCGCCACCCACCCAAGGCAATGGAAAAAGGGGAAACAGCTGAGTATGACTAACTTACTGATGCCACCTCATTCCAAATGGTCACTGCCAGCAGCTTGAGAGCCAGTTTGGTGTCGTGGTTAAGTGTGCGGACTCTAATCTGGGAGAACCGGGCTTGATTCCCCACTCCTCCACTTGCACCTGCTGGATGACCTTGGGTCAGTCACAAGCTCTGGCACAGCTGTCCTTGAAAAAAGAGCAGTTTCTGTCAAGAGTTCTCTCAGCCCCACCCACCTCACAGGGTGTCTGTTGTGGGGAGGGGAAGGGAAAGGAGTTTGTAAGCCGCTCTGAGACTCCTTCGGGTAGTGAAGGGCGGAGTATAAATCCAATCTCTTCTTCTTCATGTCATAGAGTATGGAGAGCAAGTCTGAACCTCGCAGGGCTTCTGGCTAGATTCAAATGTCGCAATAAATGGTGTCTTAAGGCACAAACCCTGATTACTCCACCAGATGTACGCTGTCGTTCATAATTCCTGGTCTGCTGCTTTTCACCTTTCCCACCTCCAAGCAGAGTCCCCAGAGTTCCCTTGCATTACCAGGCTACTGGCAAAGCTCCGCTACACACGCACCCCATTTGCCTGTAATTCATGGGGAGGGGGCAGCCTAGGGCAAGCCAAGCTGCCTCCTCCTATTGCGGTCTTGGAAAAGGGTCATCCGTTTCCTTCATCCCCTGCGCTCCCTTCTCCTGCTTGACTAAATTCCTCAAACTTCTAAACTCTGAAACAAAATAAATATTTTACACCCTCCCCCACATCCCTTTCCCGGCTCCAAAGTCTCTGAAGTAGATTCCTACTTGGTGAGTTACCATGGAGAAAAGGCAGAGGGCAGGAGTCTCCTCTGAAGGCATCGACAGTCGAATGCAGCAAACGGTTGTTGGCCTGGGCTTCCCTTTCTCTAACCCGACCGCTCAGCAATTTCATGGCGTGCCCACGAGTTCTTGTATTGTGAGAAAGGGAGAAAAGTACCTCTTTCTCTACCTGCTCTTTCCCATGCATAATCTTATAAACCTCAATCATGTCACCCCTCAGCCGTCGTTTCTCCAAGCTAAAGAACCCCAAGCGTTTTAACCTTCCCTCATAGGGAAAGTGTTCCAACCCTTTTATCATTCTAGTTGCCCTTTTCAATGTGCCCACACCCTCCAGCCACGCTGGAGTCCACATCCTGGCAACCCCGACTCCTGTGCTCGGATAACGTTGAGACTCTTCTGCAGAAACAGCCATCTCCGAGTTAGGCCAGTCCTTTCCGTGTGCACCAGAGATCGTGCTGGATCTCAGGCAAAGGACCTTTGGACAGTGAACTGACACCGGAACCAGAACGTTGGAGACCTCGGTAAGGAACTGTAACGAGGGGCAGCAGATACACTTTGCTTTCCTCCGACCACCCCAGCTTGCACAGCCCATAGTTTGAATGCATGACAGAACTTCAGTCACTAAACTCCAGCCAAAATTATTTTAGCTCTTTAATTTGAATGAATGAATGTTTATCTGTGGTCAAAGACCATTTTTCATAAGAACACAATATTATACAGTCAAAGAGATTCATTCCAGGACAGAAAATATGTTTAGTCATAAAAACCTTAAAATATTTATGAACTATAATAATAATAAAACCCTTAAGATATATCTAAAATGTCTAATATATGTAAAATGATTACAAGTCCTACAAATAAAAACTATACATAACCATACTTCTTGTTGTGAAATTTTACCAAGTAGAAGCAGAATTTGGCTATTTGTCTGGAGATAATTGGCTTTTCATTAACTAAAAGTCTCTCCAGGCAGGTCTCATCTGCATCTACCAATGGTCTGTCTAAAAAAGGGGAAATAAACTTATCCCTATGAATGAACTAGATGGAACGGGCACCTAAAGAACATATGAACCATCGATTCATCTTCTTCAATAGAACAAGGGCAACACCTATCTTCATATGGGATCTTCCTATATTTCACATCTAGCACCCTAGATCTGGAATTCCTTTTCTGGAAGAAAATGCCCACGAGGCATTAACAGCAGAGGCCAGGATGCCCTTTCAAAAGCAGTCAAGAAGGGCCCAAGAAGTACATTTGGCCTGTGAATACTCAACATTTTGGGGGGCCCGGTTCAGGAAATTAGCCCCGGAAAAGCTGTGCAGCAGAAAACTTTCACCGCAGTATTCTGTTTTTATAAAGATTATATCCGATATTATGGCAGAACTGACTTTGTATGCTTCATCCTTTGTGACAAGCGAAGAGCGTAAGACAAAAAGAATACGCACAGTCAAATAAACTGGAAATTCAGTTTAATCTTTTACATCCGGATTAGGCATTGTTTGGCATACTGAATTGACTCTAGTTGAACCTGAGCAGATACAGATACTATTTGCAATTCTTAGCTAGTAGATGAGGGTCACTGGCCATACGCCCCCACAGGAGCTAATGGCAATCAAGGAACCAGTGTAGTCCCAGCCTGAAGTCCAGAGCTGCCCATCCAGAGTGCACATGGAGCTGGATAACTTAGCACTCCCCCCCCCCAAGCAAATAAGCAGAAGACTTCTCAATACGTGAGCCGGTGGCAGCAGCAGAAGGAGAAACTGCAGCATTTGCTGAGGAGACAGAACTGGCAGGGAAGATCCCAGCTGGACAAAGAGAAAAATGCCACTGAGATCATAACTTGACTGTCCTGTGTGAATAGGGAAGAACGTCTTGACATGGGTTTTTGTTTCTTGGACACCAGATCACTACAGAGCAGTCCCAATGACCAACGGCCCAAATCTAGGGAAGAGACATTTAGCCATCTGTAATAGGTTTGAGCAGAATATGGGGCTGCTTATGCGGGGAGGATTATGAACTCAGCTCCTAGACAGATGAAAAAAGCACGTCACATAGGAAGATATTTCAGGGAAAGAAGGGAGAGAAAGCGAGAAGCAACTGCTGGCTTTCAGACACTCTGTTACGGGAACCTGAGACCATCGCAGTTTCCCAGGCAATCTTGGCCAGTGACGGGTTCCTTCAGGAACAGACCATAACAACAAGCACAGTAGAATTTTTTCCCCCCAAAAGGCACTTTGTCGCCACACTGGGCTAAATCAGGACTTCTGGTGGGGGAAGAGAGATGTCGAAGCAAGACATCCTCCATGCAGAAGTGGCTAACTTCATTCAAATGCCCCTTTCCTAAACGAATGCGGTTATACTGATATCGTCTAAAAACAGAGTTCCCTTGGCCTTCACACCACATACAAAAATGTAAAGGTCAGAGCAGTCCCTCTTATCAGACCCAGGAAATACCTCAAAGCCAGATTCTGGAAATTACTCAGCCAAGGAAGATGCATCGCCCTGGCTGCTTGTGGGGTACCAGCAGCTACATTCGGAATCCCATGTTAATGCACCAGGCAGCCCTCCCTAGGTCATTCTTCACCATGGCCCCAGGAAAGTGAGCTCCCATGCAGTTATCTTCTGTTTCCTCACACTGTCGCTAATAACATGACTAGTCAGAGCATGGGCTGGAGTGAGCTATAGCGCAGCATACGAACACTTCCCAAAGGGCTGCAAGAGAGGCGCCTTTAAGCCAGTCAGGAGACAGTAAGGAAACGGTGTAAGGAAGGAAAGCCTATCACTTCCTGCGGTTTCCCTTCAGCTACTTGACTCCATAATACAAGTGAACAGCCAAGCCAACGAGCAGCACAGAAAAGAAGAAAAAGGCAGTGAGGTGCAGGCTGAACAACAGGACAGAGAGAAGGGCATTCACCACCACGGAGGCGGAGATCACAAAAAGTCTTGTGATGTTACTGCTGTGCTTCATGACCACGGACATGATCAAACCATTCAGGGCTTGGCTGACAATAACCAGCAGCACCCACAATGAGAAACCCTCCAGGTACCCAGTGGCTGAAGCGCTTAACAGATGGATGGCCACATTCAGCAAAACACCAAAAAAATAAAGAAATAGGTTTTGGAGGTTGAGAGGCAGATCCTGGGTCTTCAGGATAACTTCGGTGTAGACGGCAGAAAGGCCGGAGATCATACAGTACAGAGAAATCAGCAGAAGGCCGACGGGTGTGATATGCAGTTCCATGTCAGAGGCGGGAGAGGGCTGAAGATCCTGGAGGCCTCCGTAGGGATACAACACCCCAGCAGCTGTAAGCAGGAAGAGGGCTACCCACTTACGGGCAGTTAGTCTTTGGTGCAAGAACACACTGTAAAGGAGGGCAGTGCTGCCGATTTTCAAGTTGCTCAACACCTGGTAGGTGCTAGGATCCATGAACAGCTGCATATGGACCACCAAGTTGTTGTTGGCTGCATACAACAGTGCCGAGAGAGCAAAAGGAGCCGCGTGTTGCCATGACACGGAGACTCTTAGCTGCCTCCAGTCCCAGATCAGCAGAAAAACCAAGGAGAGCACCAGCTTCGTCAGCTCAATCAAAACCACCACAGATGAGGCACTGAATGGGATCTTCCCATTGTCCTTACAGAGAGTCAAGAGTGGTGCATGAGAGCCGTAGATGACAACGGACAAGAGGAGCATCAGTCCCCACAGGGCTTTCTCAAGTACCGTAGAAGCAGCAGATCTGCCTAGTTTACGGACACTACAAGTGTTCTCAAAGACCATTTCTGTGAAGCACTGGAAACAAGGATTGCATCAGTCTCCAACTTTTTATTGGAAGGGGCACAGGATTTGTCTTGGTACTTTTTTAAACATTATCTTCCAGAGTGGGAGTAAGGGAGGACTCACATTACAAGCCCAACAATCCAGTCAGTCACATTTGGTTATAATACTTGCACATGATTAGGGGCAAAGTGACCTCAACATGTGAGCTATGCAAACTGCAAACTGCATTTCCTGAGCCAGGGGTACGTGGCAGTTTATAGAGCCAGCAGCAGGCAGTAACAGCGGGCCTTCAGTTCAATAGACAGCAAAGACAAGCACATTACAGAAAAGAAATGTAGCTGTCTAAGCTGATAGTCTAAAAGCACCCTAGTATGGCTGAAGCTGCAACTACCACTTTCATGATACAATAACTGAGAATAATTATAATCAGACCTGCTGAAATTTCACCCTCACTCAATATAAAACATTTCCAATGGACATGAATGCTGAAATGGGAGCCAGAGTAACCAAATGCCTATGACCCTTTGTAAGCAGTGAAATTGTCTAAAAATTGTAAAATATAAAGAGGAGTTTCTAGAGTGCACCACTACATGAAGGAGAGTCTTTTAGTCTGGTCCTTTCCTGAATGAACTGAAGAACTCTTTGATCGTCTTCTCCACATTAGGGATTGCATAGGTTTGAGCAACATACACTCCAGAACAAGTCCCCACTAAAAATCCCAAGACTGCTGAAGATCGCAGTTTGGCTACAACATACCCAGCAAGGAACCCTTTGAGAAATGGAGATGCCAGCAAGGAACCTTCCTGTAAGAAAAGCAAAAACAAGCAGATGAGACAGAGATCCAAACAACAACTAAGCTAAAAACACTGAACAATGGCTGCCATCACTAAACTGATGACAACGACTAGCACTTTATTATGGTTGAATTGTTTTAACTGTAATTCATGTTTTAATGTAACTTATTGGTTTTATGTAACTTACCTGTTTTTATGTAAGCCGCCCTGAACCAGCTTTGGCTGGGAGGGCAGGGTAGAAAATTGAGAAATAAATGAATAAACAAACAAAAATGTAAACTGGGGCATTTTTCCTGATAATACTGGATTACATTATCAGAACTGGTATAATTTCGTCACCATAGGATAGGGTGCCATATATATAACTTCAGTATTCTCCAAGTGTGACGTAATTTTAAAAAAATGGGTTTTCCCCCCTGGAAATACAATTATGGACTTAGCAAAATACAGAGTTAAAAGTTTCCACAAATAAATCATTAAGGAATTCCCCCCTTACCTGTCCTACTCCCGTCTGCACCTCATTTTCCACTCTTTGTTGCAAGTTTGCCAACTGATCCTTCAAAAAAGCAAGATCCTTCAGCTTCGGCAGAGAGTCCTATACATTGGAAACAAAATTCCAGATTGCAAATTGCATGCAAACGTGCGTTTTGACAGCATTGTTACAGAAGGTAAAGTATTGAGAATGGAAGCAGCCTTTCTTTCTCTTGCCACTACAACCGCCATACCACTTCAGAGACTTCTGCTCTGTGGTTCCAGACACTTAGGTTAAAAAGTTGGATATTCATTGCTGCACAACAAAAAACCCCTTACTGATATCCTATTAAAATGTCAGAAACCTTTCATACATGTGGGGTAGAATGTCTACAGGTGAAAGACTGTCACACAGCAATATCTTTTAAGGGTATGATATTTTGTACACACAGGAGACTCACAAGGACTTTTCTTTTCTCCAGTACTCCCCTCCTCCACTTTTTCCCCCCTCTTTGCCTCCTCTGGGCAGTGCCCGTACTCTCCCCCTTTCCCTGCTACCTCCTCTCCTTCCCACCCACCCACCTCCACCTATTTTATTTACATCACTATCGCCCCACTTTCTCCCCCACGGGGCCTCAAAGCAGCTTTCATTATTCTCCTGCCCTGTTCATTTTATCCCCCCCACCCCCCCCCCTCTGAGACGAGTTAGGCCAGAAGCCTGCAACTGGCCCGAGCTCACCCAGGGAGCTTTCACCGCAGCGGTGCCTTGGTAGTGGAAGCTCCATCCCGGGGCTCCTGCCCGCCGGTATTCTCCCCCCTCAGCTCGCCTCGGCCAAGACAACTCGCCCCGGGCTCGCTGCTCTTTCCTCTGGGGCTGCCCCACGGCTTGCCCCCAAAACCGCCCCAGAAAAAGCGCCGGGACCTTCCCGCGCTCCTTACCTTATCGTCCGCCATCTTCCCTGCGAAACTCTACGCCGCTTCCGCTTCCGTTCGAGCATGCGCGGTACAACGCGCGTCCGTCCTCGTCCCCCCCCCCACGACGCACTCTTCACTGCCACGTGCGTCCTGACGTCATGTGAGAAGACGCCGCGTGTCAGGTAGCGTTGCCAGCCTCCAGGTCGGACCGGGGGATCCCCTGGAATTGCAGCTTCTCCCCGGACCAGTGTTCCTTCTAAGCTGAGTCAGTGTGAGCTAGCTCACAGTTGTTTAGCCTCCGACTCACACCTTTTTGTCTCTGCTCAGGAAGGGATGGCTCCGGAGCAAACTGATTTATGCGGCAGCCCAATCGCTCGCTCACAACTTGAATGCCAGGACGCAGTGTTCCCTCTAAGCTGAGTCAGTGTGAGCTAGCTCACAGTTTTTTAGCCTCCGGCTCACAGATTTTTGCCTTGGCTCGATGGCGCCAGAGCAAACTGATTTATGCAGTAGCCAAATAGTTCGCTCACAACTTTCATGCCAATAGCTCACAAAGTAGAATTTTTGCTCACAAGACTCCATGGCTTAGAGGGAACATTGGCCAGGAGCTCACAAAGTGGAATTCTTGCTCACGAGACTCCACAGCTGAGAGGGAATATTGCTCCGGACTTACAGGGATCAGTTCCCCTGCTGGAAATGGCTGCCTTGGAGGGTGGGCTCTGTGGCATCCTCCCCAGCCTCCTCCACCGCTAGATTCCCAGGAGTTTCCCAACCTGGACCTGGCAGCTCTCACCTCCACACACACACCCCCCGCCGGTGGATGGCAACCCGTGCCTGAACACATCTGTTACTCCCTGGTCTCTCATTCCATCCCCAGAGTAGTGTATTTGGGCCCAGGGACCCTAATGGAAAATCCATTCCGCATTTTTATTGCAACTCTACTTGTACCCTAATGTTTTCCAATGGAGTCCATGCAAGTCAATTTGCATTCCTGGCTCCCATTATTTCCAATGGGCCTTCCAGCGTCTCCCATTGTTTCCAATGGGCCATCCTGTCCTTCCTTTTAGTACATCCCACCCGAGGGGCCATTCCGGACTCGCAGGGGCGTGTCAGGAGTCCCCAGTGATGTCATGGCCCTTCGATATACCCTTGGGCCTTGCCTTCCGTCAGGGGGACTGTCTACTTAATGCCGCCAGCATTTGTATTGCTTGTATTGTAATTTATGCCGCTCACGGAAACTTTACTGCATGTATTGTCTACTGGATTTCAGTGTTTGTTAGCCGCCTTGAGCCAGTTGGTCCGGCAAGGCGGGACACAGATCGAAATAATAAAAAAAAATAAAAAAAAAAACAATACTTTCCAGGCGTCCCCCGCGCGCCTTCCAAGAGATCCGGAGGGGGAGGGGGAGGGGGGGCGGCCGGGCCAGGCGAGGGAGGAGGGAGGAGGCCGGGCGAAGCGGCATTTCTGTGCGACCCTCGACGGACTGGCGGATCAGATCGATGCCCTCCGTCCCCCACAATAGACGCGCTGGTTCTTCGAGGGCCACCAGATTCCCTCGTCGCTTGTGTGTTGCGACCGAGCAGCAGCAGCCCCTCCAGCCCCCCCCCCC